GTGCCACCATGGCTGGCAAGAACAGAATATTTTGATGCCCCACATTCTAGTACTTCTTTCCTCACCTATTATCATTGCTCTTGCACTTCCCAGGGTATAAAGCCTCCATGAAAACAAAAAAATACACACAATCAGGTGTTAGGAACACTGTTTCCTGTGTAGAATTTCTAGTTTACAAATAGATTCCATGTACATGACAATACTTGTTACTAAGGAACAGACTATCATCCTCCATGATTGTTTAGTTAATCCAATACATTCATTAGGCTAAAATCACACAATGATATAGGTCTTCCTTCAAAATTTTATTTAAGTCTAAAATGCAAAATTAACTTTCTTTTTTGGGGCAGTACTAGGATTTGAACTCAGAGCCTCACACTTTCTAGGCAAGGTATACCTCCATTGTGTTTTTAATTTGTTTTCAGATAGGGTCTCCTGCTTTCTCCCAGGTGGGCCTCAGACTCTGATCTCCACCTCTTAGGTAGCTGGGATTACAGGCATGCACCACATGCCAACAAAAAATTAACTTTCATTTGACCTTTCTTTTAATGGAGAGTCAAAGACTCTAATCATGGATTTAGTGTTGGTGACAGAAAGCACTAAAATACATTGTTTATGATTTCCAATGCTGATTTATTTAAAATGTAACAAGAATGTGAATAGAGCTGTGTGACTCACAAGTGGGTTTGGTGTCACTCCAGCTAATGGTCTCTGCTGCTCTGCCCAGGGTTCCAACCTTGTGAAATGAGGCAAGCTGTCGTGTTCTGGCTAAAAGATGTCATTTTAATGCCGACACTTAAAAGTACTTAGGAATACAACCTGCCATGCAACCAACTGGACACATTATCCTAATAGCTGTACAGTACGTTCTTGAAATCTGCTTTACCTTGGATGACAAGACTACAGTTGAGTCATTCAGGAAATTACTGAAGAGAACAAAAAGTGTTGAGAACAGAGAAAAAAGAAAACCTTTCAGCATGAAACATCATGGGTGAAGAAAAGTGGCTGAGTGGGAGTTTCTCAAAATCGTGTGAGGTGGGGAAGTTTTGTGTGTTTTCAATCGACTTCACATTTCAAGAATCTCTAGGCGGTTAGGCATTCTAGTGATACAGAATTTTATTGTAAAAGAAGTTGACTCTATTTTAGTTGGTAGATGTGTGTGTCCATCTGTCGCTCTTATTTTGGGCTCTGGTGTCAAAAAGGAATCTCATTTTTCAATCAGAAAACACACCTCTTTCTGAAAGTTTTCTATAAAGATGCTATAAATCTCAAAATGTCATACCCTGCTCCTTTCAGAGAGGGAGTAGGACTGTGAGAACAGGAAAGAGCTACTGAAAATGCAACCCTGTAGAATTTCCACTGTCTGCATCTCAAGTAGAATGGAATCAGGAAGGCTATAGATTCTGGCAGGAGGTGCTGGGGACCTTTAAAAATGAAAGACAGAGTCAGAGGGCATCATCTGAAACACATACGCAATGTTCAGAACCCTGACAGCGGTTCAGCAAAGGAGAGATGGAGTGCGGGCAAAAGGAGAATGATGGCTGTGGAAAGCCAAGTTCAATAGAAATTGTCAGCACTCAGTGGCCAGCAGCTATCAGAATCTAACCCAGTGGGGAAAGAAGATGTCATCCCATTGTAAACCACACAGGAGTCACTGTGCAGGGAATATTGTTTCCAGAACCCTTCTGGCTCAAAGCCTGGAGCCAAGCAAGGAGAACAATACAAATAATTAAGGGAGTGGTAGAATTAACTTACAGGGAATTCTTTCTACTTTTCTTCACCAGGTGAGATCAAGGACAGTATAAATTTCACATCAGATAGGTCTTCTATCAGGGAACCGTATCCTGTTCTGGCAAAGGATGATCTAGAAGATTTTTTCCATTTCCAACTTGGAGGATGTAACAAATTTTGTATAGCTTGGGCAAGTGATACACTGGGTGTATTTAAAAATATCTACCATGAGTAAACCTCAATGAGGGACAAGAAATACATAGGGTTGCCTTACAAAAGGAAAAGACAAGAGCCTGCTGCTTTCTGTGCATTTATACACAATCTATATAGAGAAAGAGCTCCATTGGTTTTTTTTGTGGTACTGGGATTTGAACTCAGGGTCTTGGACTTGGTAGGCAGGTGCTTTACCACTTGAGTCATTCCCCCAGGTCTTTTTTGCTTTAATTGTTTTGGGAATAGTGTCTCTTGTTTTTTCATGGGACCAGCCTGGACTGCAATGATCCTCCTGTCTATTGTCATAGCTGTGGTTACAGTTGTACACCACCATATCTGGCTTATTTGTAGAGATGGAGTCTGCCTAACTTTTTGCCTGTGCTGGCCTTGAGTGATCCTCCTCATCTCCATCTCCTGAGTAGCTACGAGGAACTCCAGTCTCATACTGACTCTTGGCGATTAATGCTAAGCTTTTTCTGTGTTTGTTCCTTTATAAAAATGTAGCTTATATTCCAGACACATTCTGAGTAGTAAATGCCATACTCAATTTGCAGGTGGAAAAACTGAGTTATTGAAATGCATTTTATTTGAATTCAAGCACAGAGCAAAGCAGTGAAAAGGACAAGGTTATGACCCAATTCTCTGGCTGATGGAATAAGAGCAGAGATGTATAGGTCTACATTTTCTTATTAAATTCAAGTTATAAGGATTTTTTTCTTATGGCTGTAATGTAGTGGATAATTTTCAGTCAAATATCACTGCCCTAAATTACACTAACGAAACATATGTAATGGTCTCATTACTAGTATAATGCATGCCACAGTTGACAAAGCACTCTCTCACACTCCCTTATTGGTGCACATTAATGACTGGACACTTGACATGTTTTCAGGCTGCTTTTGTTCCTGTCAGTATTTGCCGTCATAAAAACCCATTGAGGTTCTTGATTTCTTGAGTGATGCCTTTAGGAAGAAAAAACTATCAAGTGAATGAGTGAGTTAATGGCTCATTTTTCAATGTGGCTTTTGTTTGATACCTATTCTAAAATTATCCATTCTGCGTATCCCTTTTCAAAGGCCACTTTCAAAATGTAAGTCTGCAGTTTTAGCATTCGTTAGAGCTAACTTCCATCAAGTGAAGAGAACTCTTTGGAGACCAGTTTGGTGGAGTGAAAATATCTGACTCTGAAGTTAGACAGCTTCCATTTGAATCCACCTATGACCCATGAGAGGCTCCGTGAGGTTCTAAAATCAATCTCGAAACAAGAAAATGTTTATTATATTAACACATTTCCTTACTGAAAACTACAATTGACTATAGAGCATATGTATTTGATTTATTGGGTTAGTTTAGCAGTCAAGTTTCTAAGAAACAATATATTAACCTGAATTCACTATTAGGAAGATGTCTCCTGTGAATGCTTAATAAATGGGTTGGGTGGGGGTGATCTAAGTAAACTTTTTATGTGAGAGGGGAGATTGGACCTTTCTGTGTAGCCCAGGCTGGTCTTGAACTCACAATGCTTCTGCCTCAGCCTACCTAGTATTAAGGCAGGTACATTTTGGAATCATGAGGTATGGCTCCATATTGGCCCCCATATAAGACCTATCTTTCCCCCTATCTTATGCTCCCCTATCTATTTTTTTGGTGGTAATGGGGTTTGAACTCAGGGCCTCACACTTGCTAGGCAGGTGCTCTACCTCTTGGGCCACTCTGTCTTAAGGTACATACTAATCAAAACCACTTCTTGGCTTGTTGACCCTATTGGAATGGCACCACATTGATGAATCTCTTTTATTATTTGCCACACACACATTGGGTCTGTTTCCTTTCTGTGGGATCTACATTATTGTAGTAGGAAGGGGAGCTTTAAAGCCCCTCGTTGGGAAAAGTCACTTCCTTTCACTGCACGTGAGCAGAACACAGACCTTCCACACTGCAGGAACGTAGACCCTGTGTCATAGGTTAATAGTTCCCCTGGCAACAGAGTTTATACCAGGGGCTTCCAAATGTACCTCACCACACTTCATAATCATTTCATTTAGTGGCCTACCAAAGTCATCCAATCTGTGTCATAAGATAACAAAATATATTGTTCTCCTTGCCCATGCATCATTTCCACTCATGACATGAAAATGAAATTTCAGCATTTCAAACCCACATATTCAATTACTCATAGGCAATGTTTTATCTTCAGTGGAAAATGTGTTCTACATTTTTTAAAAAGTGTGTAATGTATGTTTTATTTGAGTGATACTACTAGATGAAGATGCTTTTGGTCTGCATTAAATATTTGTACCTTTTTTGATGCCAGGGCAAAATTCAAATGTACATACTCTCCAGTTCAAATTACTGTGTCAGCATATTCTTATGTGATTTAATGTTCAGAGTGTTGCATGTTTACTAAAGGGTGTTTATGTTTAGCACTGATGGAGAATAGTATGTTACCTTATTAATGGATAAGAACTGATGAGTTGTGATACAAGAGGAACTTCACTCTGTAGCACTTTCCTTACTCCTTACTGTTGCACACAACAGTGTGTTGGAGAGAAGGTAGAAGAATGTCAATTCCACAGACCCAAGGGGATGATGGAACAGTGGCAAGATGTTACAGTGCACAGCAGCTTAGGAGGTGTGAAAGCCCCTCCTACTTCCAGTGCTGTGGTGTATCTGAAAGGAAGCTAAGGTGGATAGCTTCTGCAGATGCTCTCTCTCCTTTCCTGTCATTATGTGTTCCTTCCTGATGGGAGAGAGGAAAATAACATGCACCACAGGAGGGCAACAGCCAGAACAAACTGCCTTCAAAGTCTTCCACCCAATAAGAAATCGTAAAATCACTATGCAGACCTAAGGATGAATACCAGAACTCTGTAATAAATGGAAGTCAAATTTTCCTTTGCAGATTTTTGTGCTGTTAATTCAGCAATTTTTTGAGATAAAAACCTTGGAAGATGTACTTTTCAGACGCATTTTTCCTCACAATGATTGCTGTCTCAAAGTGTCATTGCAAGTTCTTACTTTTCTTGAGCTAAATTTATCCTATTTTTCTCTTTTAGGCAAATATCAATATTCCAATGGGCGCCTTTCGACCAGGAGCTGGGCAACCCCCCAGAAGAAAAGAATGTACTCCTGAAATGGAGGAGGTGAGGAAAACTTAGGTGTCAAAGTCTAGCGAGGCCTGTCTGCTCTTGAATCCTCACTAAGAGAGGGCAAAGGCGAGGCAGGGTGATTCTCCAGAAATCATGTAGTGTGTAGATTTCTGTAGTTGTCCTGTTCAGGCAGCCAGGAAACTCTGTCCCTCCATTTCTGTCAGCCAAAGTTAAGTACTTGACATGGTTACTTAAAGTTACTGAACAGTTGTTGACTGATTTTTGTTTGTGGTGGGGAGAACATGGCCTCTTAGTTGCTGTTGGTCTTTTGAGAGTCAGAAGTTTTCAATCAGGAGCTTTTATTGAACTGAGCAGGATGTATTTAGTACAGCTTCTGATGGGTGATGAACCCAAATTAAAGCTCAGGAAATAAGCACATTTATAACCAACCAACCAACCAACCAACCAACCACAAACAAACACCTTCACCTTCCTTTGAAAAGAAGACTTTTCAAGGGAGCCTATCTAGTCTTCCTTTTTGCATTTTCTCTCCAGTTCTTCAGTTATCCCCCCAAATTCACATTCCTAGGTTACTAAACTGGAGGCTAAAATACAACAAATGCAACAGATAGGAAAGGGTTCCCTCTTCAGATCTTTATACATTTTTTACCCACACGTGATTTTTCTGCTGAAATCTGAAAGGTCTATTTCTGAGGGAAAAAAAATAAGGTTTTGGAACATTTTATTAGCACAATACAAGGAAAATAGAATTAAGCCACAAAGCACATCAAACTATATATTTTTTTCTTTTTAAAAAGGTGAAAAGGCTTTTTAAAAAAACTTTTTTGGTACTTACCCCCAAAGAATATCTATCACCATTTCAAAGTTTCTTAATAAGACTTAGACCTGGATCTAACTTTTTCTCCTGTGAATATTTTTAATCTGGTCCTGAGTCAGTGGTTCCAGCCTTCTATCAAGAGATAATTTTGAGAGGAAGAGATGAATTATTTGAGCGACATCACCGAGGTCTAGAGTTTCAGCCATTAAGTCACTTTTAATAAATAAAAACTTTGAACATACGAGTTGAAAAGACATGACCCTATCCTGCTTTTTGTCTATATAATCCCACCTTCTGGAGCTTCTAACCGGCTTCCAGTGAACTCATGATCATGAGCCCTCCATCTGGGACTTTGTCAACTACTCAAGTCTGTGCTGGCCAAGTGGGATAAACTCCATCTCTTGGAGGGTTGCTGTGAGGAAGAAGTGAGTGATGTAATGGATGTGGCATAGTCTAGTAGGTATTTGATAAATGATTGCTCATCAACTTATCTAATTATCCAATTTTCAGGAAAGACCCCTGGGCTTATTGTTTTGCATGTTGTAAGAAAGGGGCATGAGGAGTTAGAAGGGACTGCAGTGGAATTCTTCCTCCACCTCCATTTAGTTGTCATTAGATTTTTCTTCCCAGGCTTCCTCTTAAGCTGTGTCTATCACCACCATGGCAATCAGTCAGAAGGTAGCTTGACCCTCTTTCCTCATGAAATTGGTTGATGTAACAGCTGCATTAGAGGCTCACATCTCACTCTTTCTGTGGTACACATGGCCCTTGATTTCACTCTGTACAACTGGTACTTTCCTCCATATGAGTGTCTCTCTTGGGGAACTAGGGAAACACTTTGCTTTCACTCTTGCCTTTTCCTTAATCTGATGGTTCCAACATATTCTAAAATAATCAAGAACTGATAACACCTGGTTTGTCAATGCACACTTTATAACCAGCCAAGTATACAAATAGTCCACTAGTATTCCTCAAAGGATAGAGGAAGTGAGGTATCCACAGAGATCCAGAGACCCCCTAGGAGTGTTCCTTGAGTTTGGCAGGAGCGTGGAATGTTTCCTTACCATACAAGTAGGAACTCTCAAGATTTGTGGGGTCTTAGGTAGGGAGTAGCCTCTCATGACTCAAGATCTGGCCTGGTCCTCAGAATAAGTTTCTCAGAGAACCAACATTGCAAGGGAGTAGCTGGGTAGGTTGACTACAAGGTGGGTTAAGTAGGATTTCATGGGTTATTTTGAGGTTATAGTTATGCTACTTATTTTGGCATAATTTGAATGAAAATGGAGTCTAAATATGAACTAACATACATCCACATTTATTGCCATTATCCAAGTTTGCAAACTCAGAATTGCTTATTTTCATAGATCTGGGCTTCCCTACCAAGACTTGCATTAGGAGAAATATAGTATAATGTGGGGATCATAACGTACCATCCCTGACTTGCAAAGGTCATTTCTGTCACAACCAGTAGGTTCCTCATGTAAACTCAGAAGGTATTTTTACCCTGGCCCCCTCTCAGTAGTGAAGAAGATGCAGTCCATCAGGAAGGCAGAATGAGTCTTTGGCCATTTGACAAGATCTGGCTGTCTCCTGTCCTCCTGTGGCCTCTGACAAGCCCTTTGCTCTGCCCACAGAGCAGGAGTGTACCCTCTATATGCTTGCCTCACCAGACACTGGCTTGTGCCTGGCACAAGGGCCTTCTAGCCAAATCCTTGTAAGCAGGGCTAACCTTTTGCATAAGACAAGCAGCTGCTTGCTTGAAGTGATCTGAAGGGTACTGATAAGCCTCCACTAATCTTCCCAAATCTCTCTTTTGCCTAAGATAGCATCATTATTAAGCCACCAAATAGCACATTGGGACTTTCTGTTAAATATTTCCCTTTTCATACTGTCCCTTTACAAGATGCAAATACATTATTTAAATCTCATCTTAGCTGCGTGGCCCTGGACAAGTTTTTTAGCCTTCCTGTGCCTGAGTCTCCTCAAGTGTAAGACAAAGATAAGAGTAGTGCCAGATTTATAGGGTTGGTGTGAGGGTTAGAGGAGTTAGTAAGGTACCTTAGAACAGCAAGCAGTGGTAGTGTTTGAGAATGAGTGAATATGTCATACTTTACGGGAGACTCTGGGGAAAAACTCAGTAGAGTATCTGGTAGTGAAGAGGGAGATGAAAATGCTGGAAAATGCAAATCCTCTGAGACTCCCAAGGCAAGCATTTCCCTTCACAACAGGCATTCCTGAAACTGGGAATGCTGCTATGGCCGGTAAGCTTTCTCTCACACTCTCTTTATCTAAAGCAAAGAATGTCTTCCATGTCCATTCTCAAGTCAATTATCTACTTATGAAAAATATACTTAATTAGCCAAATGGGTTATCTGGAACCCTGTTTGTTCATGCTTTAATTTACTGTAATTCTTATAATAAGAAATTCATAGAAGCAATGGAATCTGATTTCCATTCTGTTTTAAAAAGATGAGTGAAGATTCAATTTAAAAATGCACACCATTATCCCCCCTTCCTATATCAATATCAGAATGTTAAATTATTAAATATACCCACTTACAATTTTCCACAATATGCCATATGACCATATCGAATTCTAAGTCTTACCTTGATAAATAAACACAGTTATTGAGATCATGGTAACTTGGAAGGAAGATGATCAATATTAAATATTATCATTATTTATCTGCATATTTTCACATCATAAATCTTTACATATAGACACCCAAGTACAGATATTGGCTTCATGTGTTAAATGTACCAGTATGGCACATTTCCATGTAACAACACTAGCGAATGTGACTTACTTGGGAACTTAACAGAAGAAATTGAAAACATTTTTCTCCTTCATGGTTCTTTATTAAGATCTACCCACCTAACAACCGTGGGAACATTTATAAGTGAGGAAACATTTTTCATTTCACTGCTACACATATTAAAAAAAAAAGCAACACTTTATAGCTTTGTTAAAAATTCCTTCCTGGAGGCTCAGCAAAGAACATTTTGGAATACCTTGTCCTCCAAGTGAATGTTTTACAGTTTTAATTACTAATTCTATGTCTGCACACTTACACATGACAAATGTGTGTGCACGAGGAAAAACAGCCAGTCCTATGGCTTGTACATTGACCTGGGGAAACGATGTCTTCCAGGTATTTAAGCAGGTACAGTCAACATTCAATTCTTTTAGCATTTCTTGTGGGTAATACGAAAGCTAATTTCATCAGCACTGTACCAGATTCAGAGAAAAGCGACCATAGGAAAAACCCTTAGGCCCCTCAATATTTTATACGACTACTGATTCCCTCCAATAAGCAATTTAAAAACGTTTCTATAAAGGACATGTCTACCAAGTAATTTGTCAGAGTTTGGAGAAGCTCGAACACATTCTTCCTTTAGATCCAAACCAATTTAAGAATGGGACCTAGAAGCCAGATGGAGACTAACATAAAGCATCTGCTTTAATACCCAAATGACAGGGCTGCTGAGTTAGGCTGGGGGCACAGGGCTTCACAGGAAGAAACATGCAGTTTCTTACATATTTTTCTCCCTTGGAATTGTATTGGTTGCTGGCCAAGCAGATGGAAGAGCAGTGCTAGTCTTGCACTGGGGACTGTGTTCATTTGGGTCCTCCAAGAAACCCATCCAAGGATGGGATTCGATATGTGAAGTAGTTATTGAAGAAAACACTTGCAAGAGAAAATGGGAGGGAACTGCAGGAGGCTGGAGAACCCTCAAAACATGATACCGGGGAAGACAAGAGGGACAGGGGAGGGCGGAAGCTGCTCAGACTTCTGTGAGGTTCTCAGGCCAATTCTTCTGCCCAAGTGGCTTATCAGAGAAGGCCCAAGTTAAAGAGCCCGCCTTAGGATTCCTGGTGCACTCAGTCATTGGTTACCAGTAGGGAAGCAGGACCTAATGACAAAGCAGCTGGGCCAGTCATTCAATTACCTTTCTTGGCAGTAATCTGATCCAAGGCATGTTCTCAGAGCTGCTAAGGTGATCAAATGTCCTCCCACGCCTTCCTCTTCCCAGAACTGTTGAGATCCTGTCCCTCTCCCCCTCTAGCAAATAGGAGGAATGGACTAATACAGCAACTGATCCTTTTGCTATGTGTGTCTGGTGCACATGCATAGAGACGTGAACTTGTCCTTATGGTAAATTCTCAGGATTAATTAGTTAAGCAACAGTCATCAAGTATGCATGTGTATCTCTGTAACCAGGCATTGAGAGAGCCAAAAAGAGGACAGGATGTGGGCCTACCCTAAAACTGTGCTTAAAAACATAACAATATTTAATGATAGGAAATTTAAGACTTTCCAAAGCAGGAGGCAAGGGCTGGGCCTGCTCTGTCACACCCTCCTATTCTGTGCATATTCACAGAGGTTTTCCTTATGTCCTTTTCATCTTGTTTATACTTCCCAAAGATGTCATGGGACCCATTCTGGCAGCCAATGAATTCCCCCCAAAACTTTGTAACTCCTGGACTAATCATTAGAGCCATCTGTGCACTAAAGTTCCACAGATTTCTGCCATTGAGCATATTATGATCATATGATATCAAATTAAATTTGGTGTATAAGATGCTTTTCTCGGAAACACAAATCCTTCTAAATGTGGGGAATATTAGTTACCAGATGTTGAACAATACTCTAGTGTTTTCTAAGCCATGTCAAAATGACTTTTCTTCTTTCAACTTTATTTTACATTCCTGTACAAACTTCAGGATATTTTATTGAAACTCTGAGGCCATCTCAGCAACACAAGAGAAAGTTACTCAGCTAGAATGACATTCTAACATTATTCTTGCTTTAATTTTTTTCCGGTTCGTGCCATGAGCCAGAGAGATCAAATGTCTTTTTTAGTGAGTTGAATTTCTCCTCCTGTCTCTTCAGGGCGCTCCTCCCACCACAGATGAGGAGAAGAAGCCAATTCCAGGAGCGAAGAAACTTCCAGGACCTGCAGTCAATCTGTCGGAGATCCAGAATATTAAAAGTGAACTGAAATATGTCCCCAAAGCTGAACAGTAGTTGGAAGAAGAAAAGGTGAGTGAAAAACTAGTTTCTTTGTCTGAAAGAGAGCACTATAAGATGGTTTAAGGAAGCCTTCCACAGTAGGAGTCTGGGATTCCAGAAGTGTTTATTAGTAAGTTCCAATGGCATTCAATTTAGATCTGCATTTGAGGTGCAGTTTTCTGGAAAAGGCAAGCTTTTGGTCTTATCTTATTCAGTAACTAGTCAGAGAGCCATTGGATCCATTGAGGCTGTTTGCCTGCTGTCCTTTTTCTAATCACTCTTCTTATTTGAGGAAGGATGAGGTTAGGAGAGGAAAGGAACTTGAGGAGCTTTTGATCTTGATGTTCATGGAGCCCTCCCTCATTTCATGCTTCAGTTTCCTCACCCAGATACTACAAAGACCATACAAAGAACTATTCCTTTAGGCAGAGGATCAGAGAAGCAAGGAGTTGGGCAGGTTTAGAAGTGGGGAGGGGCAGATACCCAGGAGTTCAGGCCTTGAAAAAAGGAACCCTACTATGTGCAAGGCAGACCAAGAGGATCTGCTAGTCAGTTTGGGTGTAGATGGGGCACAGGGAGGTTCATAATTGTCCATGCTGCCAAGACAAGGCACGTGGAGCACTTGTTTGCATTTTAATTGACCTACTCAATACTGTCTCCTGCTGAGGGCTCAGCCCACCCTCTGTCTGGGAACCCTTTATTCAATGTACCCTTTATTCAACATTACTGATCCCCACCATGCACAGTCTATTCCATTTCCTAAGCAGAAGTCTAGAAGAGAAGAATCTATACAGGGTCAATAAAACCGGTTTTAATCCAGTTGGATGTTCACTTACTCATTCATTCATCCACTTGGCCATTTATCACTTAATCAACCAATATTTATTTTTATTGCATATCTGCTATGCACTGAACTAGAGACATTTATTAACCATGTACCATGTGTCAGTCACTGTGTGGAGAACACTATATCCATTATTTCTTGTATGCCTCCCCAGTTATTGCCTTCATTCTTGAGATGTCTTTTATTTTCTCTCATCTTTCACGCATCCTAAAAAGGGGGGTCTGACTTCAAAACAGTGTAACTATTTGTTACCTTGCTTCAACCCCTTCCTCCTTGCCCCAGGCAACTTTTAGAAGAATTGCACACTTTCTGTTGGTGTTGGAGTGAAACTTCTGGTTTCATAGATGTCAGAGACAAGCAAAGGGACAGAGGGGGCCCTGCTCTATCTTCTCTAGACAAAATGAAGAACAGAATGTTCTGTGAGACAATCCAATGTGTTGTCACCATGTTATCTGTCTCATGCTTATGCAGACCTACTAGGATGTTTGCAAATTAGTTTGTCAGAAAAGATTTAGTTATAGTCTAGCAAAAGAGAGGATCTGTTTTGAGTTAGTAAAAGACTGGTTATCTGGTGGTTTGTTTTTGTTTTTAGCGCAATTATATAAGAGAACAAAGGAAACAGTGGGTTCCATGCCCATAGAGTGAATTCCAGGAACCTCGATGGGAACAAAGTGGCATGAGTGGGAACTGCCCCCGCACATGGCTGCACACACTTATTATTTATGACAGGATAGAACAAACTGATGACTGAGTATCAGGCTCAGTCCTGCTGATGTTTGCAAATAGACAACATTGTCCAATATATTTGGGATGAAGCTATAGAACTTCCTTATGAGAAACAGCAGAAAAAGAAAATGAACTTTCTCTAATATTTATTAGCATCACCCAACCAAGACTGTTCAGTGAGACACATGAATTTTTAACACGAACTTTAAAGGATTTTGCTTTTTCCGGAATCCATGTTGACCTAAATTTAACCCCCACTTCAGTTGCAGAAGAATTTGATTCTGAAGATTCAAAGGAATGCTGCTTTTAAAAGTGCTCAGAGAGGATCTTGCAATGTTACTCGGCAGTAGGGTTGATTCAGTAGCTTTAGATGTTGCGTTACAGGGAATAGGGAGCAAAATCAAGTCAATGAAATATTAAAATGGTACTGGAGTATCCAGAACACATTTTTTGTTACTTCATTTTCTCAGAGACCTTAGTAATTCTTTTCTCCTGAGCAAATTATAATGCAAAACCACTCAGAGAGGCCTATTTGTCCTTATTCTTATTGCAGTGTGGAAATCTGAGCTGTCAGGATACTGGATCTGAATTTCAAATGAGTATAGTCATTATTTTAAGTCAAGGGATGATCTTTATTTCTTGAGATGAGGTAGTAAGCTGGTTTGCTTTTAGCTTATCTGGTCTTCTGCAAATTTCTGAAACTTCCATGCTTCTGGAATATGGTCACAGAGGGAGAGCAGTTCTTACCAGATCCATTTAGTGGACTCATAGCAACAAACATGCCACACCAGCCATCACTTGGCCCCTCACTGGTTGGATCAACTTCTTCCTCTTGGGCTACCACTTTTTTAAAATCATTTACCTTCACTTTATATTGTCCTTTAATCAAACAAATCATTGGTTTGAAGATCAAGCGACTAAATCCATCACATCCATAGTGTTAAACACTGAAAATCATGTGACTCACACTCAAAGCCTGTATTATAACTATTATTTATAATAGTTAGACATATAAGACAGAGCAGCATCTTCCAGCTGAGATCAATGAATCCTTTTAAGTGGTATTTCAGATACTTTCCATGCCTTGTGTCATGGCCAGAATTGTTCATGGAAATCTATTAAAAACATTATAGCACAAGAACCAGAAAGGCCAATAACTAGCCTATTGGGGATCAGGGATTGTGGCTTTTGGAAGAATATTTAGGGCATGGACCCAATCAGGATCCACACCAGGCACCAAAGAGACAGCATGTACCACATCAAAGCAAAAGACACAGGGGCATTTCAAATAAGATCCCAAACCAGTCTGAAACTGGCATGGGACAGGGAAGGTAGGGTGTTCAGCTACATAACTGAGATTTAAGGTGGCCAAATGGCAACTTAAGAACCAACAGCAAAGTCCAAAAAGCAGTTGTCCTTTGACTCTCTCATGCCTGATTATTTGCTGCATCATCAGGAATCTGACAGGCCCTCCCAGGAAGTCACTGTTAGCTCACTTGCTTAGAGCTAAAGCAAATGCCTGCACAGGCTTCCTGGATGCAGGTCTGGGGAACCTGGAGAACTGCTCAGAGTTGGTGTCCAACCAGACTCTGCGTCCATTTCTGCTCCCTCCCTACCCTAACATGGGATCACAGGTACTTATTAAAGAACCTGTATAACCAGCTTCTGTACCTTGGGCACTGTCTTCTTTATGTACTAAGATGTATAGATACAAATCTTAGGATGCCTGAGTTTTGGTGGAAAGATAAAATACTTCAAAAGGTAGATAATTCAATAATTAGATAGCTGTTCTGTGTTTACAGATACACATAGCTGTTTCTGACCCCCTAACAAGGAAGCAGTAGAGGGTTAATGTCATGACTTAGGAGAGGAGGAACTTGTGATGTTTGGGACCAGGAGAACTTCAAGGTGGTGGGAAGGGAATGGTTTAAACTGAGGCTCAGAGATAGCCTCTGGGCATATAGGACCTGCAGGGTTCCTATAGGGCAATTCTTCTTAAACTTTTGAGATAGAGCAAAATAAGATCCTACAACTTGCCTACACTGTCTCTTCTCTTTTTCTAGTGGTGAAAGAGCTCAGTGATAAAGAATTGGAGAGGAACAAAATAAGTATTAAAGTGGTAACAGTGCAGCAATTACAAGAAAAAGAATTGATTAACAAAGGTAAAACCTAAGAATAAGTCTACAATTTTGCAAATGAACACCAAGACAGCAGCAATGGAAAGCCCTGGGACTGACGAAGCTCTAGAAAAAAACCTTTATTCTGAAGTTGCAGAAATTCCTCTCCTGGGTATTGGACATCGCAGCCTGACCACGGGTTGTGTGGCAGGCAAACTTCATACACTAAGCTAGGGTCTCCAAGAAATGCAAAACATTTTCGTGGTTTGTTATTTTTAAATTGACTCATAATAATTACACACATTTATGGAGTGCACTGTGGTAACTCAGTACACAATACGAAATGATCAAGTCAGGATAATTATCATTTGCCTCTCTTGAATGTTTGTCATTTCTTTGTATTTGGAAACTTAAAACTCCTAGTTCTTTACAACATATATACTAAATTGTCATGAACTATAGTCACATCAGAACCCATTACTACCATGTAACTGTGCTTTGGCACCTGTTATCCAACCCTGTCCACTACCCTTTCCTCTTACCCTTCCTAATGTCTAGTGACCACTATTCTATTCTCTACGTCTATGAAATCAACTTTCTTAGATTTTTTTTGAGACAGGGTCTTTTTATATAATGCATGCTGGCCTAAAACTTGCTATGTTGCCCAGGATAGGTTAGAGGTCTTGATCTACCTGCTTCAGCCTCCCAAGTGCTAGGATTAAAAGTGCACCACCATATGGGGCTGAAATCATTTTTTAGCTTCTACATATGAGTGAGAACATGTGGTACTTGTCTTTCTGTGCCTGGATTATTTCACTTAACATAAAGTTCCCTAGTTCCATCCATCTTGGCACAAATATTACAATTTCATTCTTTTATGGCTAAATAATATTCCATTGTATGTGTGTGTGTGTGTATATATATATGTCATATTTTCTTTATTTCTATTCATCCATCAGCAGATACCTCATTTGGTTCAAAAATACATATTTTTAGGGATTCTTAGTAACTCACTTAGTTACTAAGTAACTTTTGATCATGTACGAAAGTGACAACTTCATTTGCCACTAAAAACTGAGGAAAACACATGCATTTTTGCATCAGCAAGCTTTTTAAGGTCAACCCCTGGGCCTTGGATCATACTTTGAGAAACATTGCGATAGGGCAATGAATGAGAGTACATGGAATGATCTGCAACTCCCTTGTACCCATATGCATAAATGTCAATTTACTCTCTACCTATATTCCACATCAGGAAACCACTGTAGATTCTAGATTTCATAGATTTGAAGAGAACCATTATATGCCCTGTTGGAGGAGGAGCACTCTTATCTTACTGTGCTTGGACTGCTTTAACAAAAAATACCATAGATTGAGTGGCTCAACAACAGACATTTGTTTCTCATAATCTGAGATGACTATTCTAGCATGGCCATAATCTGGTCAGGACCCTCTTTCTGCCTTGCATACAGATGTCTTCTCTCTGTGTCCTCACATGGTAGAAAGAAGATGCTCTGATGTCTCTTCCTCTTCTTATAAGGGCATTAATTCCATTATGGGGGCCCCACTTTCATGATCTCTTCTAAACCTAATTAATCCCTAAAGGCTCCACCTCCTAATACCATCACATTGGGGGTTAGGACTACAACATATGATTTGGAGGGGGGATTCAACAACCAATCTATTATAGCCCTCTTCCTTTAGCACTCTACCCCACCCTTATAACATCTTCTGTTTATGCTGTACAATACTTACCAAATTGTAACATATTGGTTTTCTTGTTTATATCTTTCTTGATGTCATGTTCTAGCTCCTTAAAGATTACAACGTACCTGATACATATTAGGCACACAAAGCTTGTCTATAGGATATTTTTGGCACCCTAATCACAGAAAATATGTTGTCCCCTAGAAATGTTGATCTTCTGGGAAACTGAACAATTAGGGAAAATGTTGAGTTTGGTTCATATTCTCAAAAAGTGGAGAAAAACATGTAAAACCAGAAGAAAATTTAATTTTTAAGAACGCTTTGGTTTTATTTTTCAAAGAACATTTATGTCCAGATAGGACATATTTGCCAACCAGTCATCCAGAGATGTCATCTCTGATAGAGGAGAACATAAGGTGCTCATTACTCTTAAATGTTAAACGCTATGCATCACTGTCATTCTTGCTGATTTGAGGGCGAATTTCAAGATTGTTGGCAGGAGGGCAAATTGGTGCACCCAGACACTTGATAAGAAGTGCATTTAGCACCTAACAACAGACTCCCAAAGCACATGAAACAAAAACTGACAGAATTGAAGGGAAAAGTAGGCAATCTAACAATAATAACAGGGGACTTCAATTTTTCACTTCTAGTAATGGCTAGAACAGCTAGAGAGATGATCAACAAAGTAAAAGAAGATCTGAACAACACTGTAAAGCAACCATAGCTGACAGATTCATATAGAACACTCTACCCAACAACAGAGCAATGTCCTCAAGTGCACAAGGAACATTGTCTAGGACACAACACATGTTGGGACATAAAACAAGCCTCAGTAAATTTATAAGAATTGAAGTCATGAAAAATCTCTTCTCTGACCTTAATGTAATGAAATTATGAATAAATAACATAAAGAGTTTGGAAATGTACAACTTGTAGAACTCTAACAACACACTCCTAAATAACTAATGCATCAACAACAACAACAAAAACCAAAAGGAAAATGAGAAAATGCTTTGAGATTAATGAGGAAAAAAGATTATAACATACTGAAACTTACACAATGGAAGCAGTGCTTAGATACAAATGCTTATATTAGAAAAATAAGATCTCAAATAAATAACCAACCAACCAATATTTGGGAAACATGCCTTTTATTATCTTACTGTAAATTTAAGATTAACTTTATTGATGAATGAGATACCATCCTTTTCAAATGGTAAGGCATAATAAAGTTAAAAATATCTACTTATGTAAACACTATAACAATGTAACAGAGACTGGAAAATAAAAACAGATGCCCAGGAGGTCACTATCATAGTATAATACTTACTTTGCTATCTCTCCTTCTAGTCTTTTCCTCTGTGTTTACAGACAGGATACAGTAGCTCCCATGCTAACAACATGGGACCTGATTCTTCTGAAACTTTCTTCTGACATAACATCATTCATAGCATTTGTAGTATTTTTGTATCTTGCTTTTTCCACTGTACATTTTATCATAAGAATGTGTTTTCATATTGCTTTCCAGCTTTCAGTAGTAAGATTTATTTCTCAGAAGCTTTGCTTTATCATGATTTTTGTAATCTTTTCCTTTTGCTAGGCGACAGAGGACTGACTTACTGATTTATATAGAACTAAACTTGAGAAAAACAAGAACAAAAACCTTCTTCCAATATGTTCTCTGTGCTTTGCTTGGAAATTTTTTGTCTTCAATTTTGATATGTTCGGTGCTTTGACCCAATTTCACAAGCCCCATTCACTTTCTCAGAAAGAAATGGTTGGAGGCTGAGATTTTTCACTGTCTAGTGAAGCCATCTTTCTTTTGATTTTGTAATGCTCTTTTTTCTGCTCTTCAAGTGGTTAGGAGAAAGACAAGTTCTGCAATGGTTCCGAACTGCATTAAGGTTTTGTTCATTTGTTTTCTTGCCTGGAAAAATTCTTGGTCTAGATCCTGGTAACAGCCTGTGGGTATAAAATACTCTTCAGGGTGATCACAGGAGCCTTTGAGTTGATTGTCAATGTCACCTCAAGGGCCTCCCACAGCAAACACACAGAAGTTACCTGGATCACTTCTGTTGAAGCACAGCTGTGGAGGGTCTGGGTTGTGAATTTTCAGAAGGGAGTTGGAACTGGTGAGAGACATTTTAGGGAGTAGACATAAAACCAGAGAAGCACATGTGTTCCAAGTCAGGTTGATAGAAGGCAGAAGTGACTCAGGACCTACTTCTGCAGCTCTGTGTACACTGGCATGTAAATTTCGACTGCCCAAAGGACAGTTATGACCGGCACATGCCCTGCTCCCAATATACTGTTTCTCAACCCAGGGTGTGGGAGTATGTGTGAATTGTGACCTTCAGGGGACATTTAGCAATGTCTGAAGACAGTTTAGGTTGTCACAAGTGGGGTGAGGGTGAGCTGCTACTGTCACTTGGTTGGGGAGAAGCCAAGGAAGCCAATATCCCAGGACAGTCTCCTACAGCAAAGAATGATCTAGCCCCAAATGTCAGCAGTGCTAGGAATGAATCATAGTGATTTATCTGCTTATAGTTTAATGGCAGGTCTAGCTTTCTGCAAACTTTCCTCTCCAAGTGGTCAATGTAGTGCAGTTTACAGAAATTAAGAAATTAATAAAAAGAGTAAAGTAATTAATTGCCTTGATGTCTGTGCTCTCCACAGTTATTAGTGATTTAAGAATAAAATAATCGAATAAAATTCTTTTTTTATCAATTAGTACATTAAACATATTTATGGTATGTATAGAATATACATGAATTATGATATTAGGCTCAAACCTAACTACTTTTTATAGGATATATTTTCATCTCAAATGTATCAGAAAGCAGTAGGCTTTCTCAATAACTCACCACATCTTTAAAAATATTAATGTTGATCATCAGTACCAATACCAGTGTCATCATTTTTATTGTCACTATGAGCATTACCATTTACCATATGCCTGAAACTGTGTGCCATGTTTCACATTCATTGTTTCATTTACTCCCTATCCTGACTGCATAGGGTATACACTATGATGCTCCGTTTGTTTACGGGTGAATGAAGGCTACGTAAGAGAGTTTATGTAACGATTCAGGTTACCCAGCTTGTAAGCAACAGAAGGGAAAGACACACCAGCATCTGTCATACTTCACAGCCTTTTAATCACTACTACTCACTGCATTCTTCAAAAATGTTCTTTTAGTTATAGTCTTTGTAAATACTTCAGTGTGATAGATCAGAAAAAAGTAAGCCTAGGCTAAAAGAGACTGCAGAAGCTGTCACCTCCACAATGAGGACACTGAAGCACATCTCTCATATGCTGGCTTACTTGTTTCTTTGTTTGATTGTCCATTTGTTCATTCACTCATTCATTTGATCAGTCAGTCAATGTTTGTTAAACATAAAGGATCCACTATGTTTATCCACCAGGTATAAAGGATCCACCTGAGTATATCAGGCACTAGGGAGTCAGAGTATCTAGCACAGTTCAAAGTGTACTGGGAAAAACATTGCATGGAAGCAAAAAGAATTTGCTCTTTTTAAAGGTCTTGAGAAAAGAAGGTCAATGCTCATAAATAGCAGAGATAACACAAAAGAAAGAGAGATGGAGGGAAAGGCAAAGAAAGGGAGGGGAAGGAGGGGAAGGAGAGGAAGGGGAGGAGAGGAGAGAGAAGGGAGCAGCACTGATCACAGCTTTGGGAGGATGGCGTGGCCAGTGCTGACACTACTGCAGCAGGGGAAGGCCAGGCCTCTGCAGAGCCCGCTTTGCTTCCAGGATGAGGGAGGGCTTGTCAGGCATGCCTGTGTCGTTTATGGTGCAGCAGTCTCCGAGGCATGAAGCCTTTTCTCTCATTCCCTCTCAGGCTGTGTGCAGCCCACGCAGAAAACCGGAGAAGTGAATTCCAGGCAGTGTAATCAGGCTTGGCTGCATCGTGACAATGCTGCTCGTTTCAACTCCCTGCACGTGCTGTGGCATTTGAGAACAAGGAATCACGAGGAGCAAATCAAGACTTACAAATTTAACTTGTATTCCCTTGCCACTGTTCGCTGCCCGTGAGCTCATCATTCCACACCCTCTGCTTTAAGCCTTTATGCAGATGGCGAGGTGGTAGCTCGCTCAATACTAGGGAAGGTTGGTCAATTAGCTTTTCACTGAGGGAAATTTCTACTAAGCAGTCGACAGATTGGAATCTCTTTCGTGCCAGGCAGGTGGCACAAAGGCTGCTCAGAACAATTTGTCTTGACTACTGGAAAAACGGCAGAAAGCAAGCATGCTCTATTGCCAGAAAGTCATTCTCCTGTAGGAAGGCCAGTGGCACACTGTCCTTCCTTCTGTCCCAGGACACACAATCCTTAACAAAGAATCCAAAAATTTTACTACCTAACTCTAGTCTAACTTCCAGTTCTGGATAAAGATGATACAAACTGAAGGGCGTGACTGGCTGCCCTTCAGTTCCAGAGACAACAGTCTTTAAAAACTTACCAAACAGGTTTATTAAGTCCTGAGCTTTCAAACATCAATTTGTTTAGCCTCATTTTCATTTCCTAACCATTTTGTACATGGGCTAGTTGGAATTTACCCTGGCTGAAATGACCTTTCTTCACAACGCACGCTAGCAGTATGAACTGGATTTGAATAGGAAATATGAAAGTACTAGAATAGAATAGGCTTGTTGGTTTGTTGAGTGAGCATGGGAGCACCCACTATGCCAAGCACCACTGCATTACAAGTAGGTGATACAGGACAAAGTCCTTCAACGAACTCACAGACTATTTGAATGAGGACATGAGAGGGGACATTGGCACATAGTGGTTGCAGCAGGCATGAAGAAGAAACAAGGTGAGGCCTTTGAATATAGGTGACAAAGGAAGAGTCTACATAGAATGTTGGCAAACAAGTATTTTACTGCCTCAGTTTCTTCATCTTAAAAATGAGAAAACCACCTACCTTATGTAGAGAGGGATTCCGCTCATCATCCTAAGGGATACTTAAGCAATGTTTGAAGACATCTGTGGTTGTCACAACTTAGAACGAGTACTGTTGACATCTAAGGAGTGGAGGTCAGCAACAAGGGGATTGGACTATGAGCACATGATAAAAGCGAGAGCACACAAGGGAGGGGTGAGGATAGGTAAGACACCTAAAAAACTAGCTAGCATTTGTTGCCCTTAATGCAGAGAAACTAAAGCAGATACCTTAAAGCAACTGAGGCCAATAGGAAAAGGGGAACAGGTACTAGAGAAAAGGTTAGATCAAAAAGAATTAACCTAGAAGGTAACACACATGCACAGGAAATCAATGTGAGTCAATGCCCTGTATAGCTATCCTTATCTCAACCAGCAAAACCCCTTGTTCCTTCCTATTATTGCTTATACTCTCTCTACAACAAAATTAGAGATAAGGGCAAAATAGTTTCTGCTGGGTATTGAGGGGGGGAGCGGGAGGGGGTGGAGTGGGTGGTAAGGGAGGGGGTGGGGGCAGGGGGGAGAAATAAACCAAGCCTTGTATGCACATATGAATAATAAAAGAAAAATGAAAAAAAAAAAAGCATAAAAAAAAAAATAAAATATTGCTTAAAAAAAAAAAAAAAAAAAAAAAGGAGTGGAGGTCAGGAATGTCACTACCCACCCTACAATGCACTGGTCAGCCCCACAACAAATGTCAACAGTGCCAAGTTTGAAAAACACTGAGTTACTTGATGTGTAGAATGTTCTCAGCATAGTAGTAGCTATTAATGTCATTAACTATTGAATGTTACCACTGGGAAGACCTTAATTTGAGGTCACTCATCTATTAGCAATGGAAAATGAGTCCTAGTAGCAAGCAAGTAAATCAAGGTCGGTACCAGTCTAAAATCCCAGTCGTCTATTTCCCAGTTTCATGTCCCTGTATTCTAGAGAAGGTAAACAGTTTTCATCTTGAGTATCGTCTCTGTTTCATTGGGACTGACTGCTGAGAAGGGTTTGGAGCCAGTGTCGGCAGAAGGGAGTGGGGTAATCACAGCAGAGTCAGCCGGAGCTGTGTGAGGTCACATGGACAGGCTTTGTGACACGGATATCCCCACCTGACAACGCCACTGGACACTGGATGTGCCAGAAAGTATAGGACATACCTGTACTCCGCTTCCAACTATGTCATTGTGCGACCTTGAACTACTTCCTGAGTCGAATCTATAAATAGCAATAAAAATGGCAGTCTTGAGAAAGGATCATAAGGACAGTGAGGTGACTCAGATGGTACACCTGGTATGAGACAGAAACATGTTCATTCCCTTTGCTGTCCCCATAATCTGCCCTCTGGCCCTTGCTTCGAAGACCAGGAATTGGTTGGTTTTGAAATGAAATACCCTCTAAAGTGTCACTCAGCCTATTTCCCTAGGGGATGGGAAGAAAGTGCGCTGAAAATGAAAAGCCATTAATTATCTGCCACCGATATGAGCTCATCGAAACGCTCCCAAGCATTCAGGAGGACCTATTTCTCAGGCTCCACCCACCTTGAATGGCCAGAGTTTGTGTCACTTGGTGAGATGATTTCTAACCTGCAGGTGTCCTCTTTTTCCTGGAGGAGGCATTGTAGCTCCAGTTTTCAAAACCTGCAGTGGCACTGGTTTCCAAAGAATCTGACTTGAGCACTTTCGTTTTGTTTGGGAGGCTTCAAGGGATTTTTCTCTTCTTCCTCCGATTTTTAACTAGCAAATGGTTTCTAATTTCTGATTTATCTCCAAAGAGAATCAGTTTAAGAAATCTTGGGAGAGTCAAGGTGCTGTTCTCCCAATCTCAAGAAGAAGTGAAACAGTGCATTTCATAAGCCATTTTCCTGAACATATCGGATACACTTGATGGCAGAAAGAGCCATCTCACCTTTTTAGCAATCTTTCATATTGGAGTCTTGTCCAGAAAATAAAATGAGAGCTGTGTCAGTCGGAGCATCCCAATGTGTCCTGGGTCTCTTCTCTATGACATCCTGTCCTAGCAACGCCCCACTTATATCCATTTTTCCAGCTATTATTGCCCTACAATAGTTTCTCTCTCTCTCTCTCTCTCATTATTTAATTTGAGAGAAGTCTGCTTTGCCATAAGAGTGAAACAGGCAGGTAGTCACTAATAAATACATGTTGGCATGGCCGTTTGGAGACTGTGCAATGCCTGCTTAAAGGAGCATCACGAGCATGAGTCAGGAAATGAAGAAATAGGACTCTCAGTTTTGTGAAGAAAACATAGCTTTTAACTAGAGGCTAAAGATAGCAGCACCATTCCTGAGCCATTGCATTTGGTAATGGGCATTGAAAAGTACTTCCATATTAATTCTGTCTTTTGAGCCACCCCAACAGCTCTGTAAGATAGGTACAGCAGGACCTGAATTTGCAGTTCATTCTTCTGCTTCACACAGGGTAGAAGATTGGAGGATATAGTGTCATCTTTCTTCAGAGAAAGTGAATTTGAAGACTAAATGTTTAAGTCCACCTGTAGAAAATAGGTACAGTCCCTTTGGCAGAATCACTGCACAGTCTGCAACAGGGGCCAAGAAGGGGAATTAACTCCATCCTCTTCCATGAGGTCAAAATCAACTAGATAATGGCTTTGCTTATACCTAGGAGGACTTCTTTCACCCACATAGAAAGATACCCAGGATTAATCTACTGACCTCTACTTATAGGTGTATTTCAAAGGAAATGTACTATCTCAACTTCTACCTCTATTTACTGTTTTCTTGCTGCCTTATTTCATTTT